ATTCATCAAGTGAAGAGAATATGAGTTTGGTTAACAAAACTCAGCTTCCGATCATTTAAACTATCATTTAATCATTTAAACAATCAGGATTTCAGCAAGCAAAAAACCCTTGGCTAAAGTGTTGAGAAAAGATTTATGATCCCTCTAGTTTGGTACATATTCTTGTATAGTTCAATCCTAGTTCAGGTGGGTAGCTGCATCAGCATGCATAGGCTGCAAAAGAAAAAGTAAATAGGTTTATTCCATGCTGAAATGAGAAGAAAGAAAACACAATGTTTCGGGGGTGGAGCCTTCTTCAGGTGTGAGGTTTAGTTTGATCCTAGTTAGATGTTTATGAAAGTCTTCATAATATATTAATATAACCTTGCCCAACCAAGATATTAAAAAAAGGAACCAACAGTATTGTAAGACATATTTGGGTTGATACATCAGTATTTTGTATGTGGTAATTTGTTAAGTGTGAGTGAAGTTTTAATTAATCTCTGACCCAGGGAAAAGTGTGGTGTGGATGGTTGAGGAGAGAACGCAGGCACGCGCTGTGTTCTTTATTCTATTTTCTTCTTCTGTTTGGTCTGTTAGTTTTTTTATATCAATAAAGTTTGATAATCGGCCAGTGAAAACTCTGTTTTCCTTCACATGAATGCCTAAAACCCTAAACCGAACCCAGGATTTTACAGTATTATCACATGAATAAGCGTGTGAACCATGAGATTAAGTAAACAGCCGCACCTTCAGCCAGACATTTTCTTTGCTTATTAATCTTTTGCATCTGCTCTTATAAGATTTGGCCTATTTGTCCTTAAAGAACTGCTTCGAGTTGGTGACATTTGAGGGTCCTCTTGTATTAACAACTTACTTCAGGTCCTGTCATAACATTTCAATCGGATTTAGGTCTAGATTTTATGTTGGCTAATGCAAAATGTAAAATTTCTTCTTCAGCCATTCTGTTGTAAATCTGCTTGTAAGGTTTGGATCAATCTCTAGCAGCATGACCCACATTTGGCACAGCTTCAGCTGAGAAATGGATGACCTGACCCATCATTGCTGATACAGTGTTGAACTCAAGGTTCTGTCAATGATGGCAATCATGGTCCTGAGGCAGCAAATCAGACACAAACCATGATACCCCCACAACCATGTCTGATGGTCGGGATGAGCTCCCTCTGTTGGAAGGCAGTGATTGGTTTTGCCACAACATTCAATTTTTACTTATCTGCCCAAAGAACATTCTTTCAGTAATCTTGTGGATTTTCTAGGTGTTCTGTAGTAAAATTGAGATGGCTGGCAATGTTCCTTTTAAAGAAATGCAGTGATTTCTTCCCAGCTATCCTCCCACGGAAACTATTCCTGTTCAGTCTTGATTGCTGATTGATGCATAAACACTGACATTAGCCACAGCAAGAGGGGTCTGCAGATCTGCAGATATTACTCTAGGGTTCTTTGTGACTTCCTTGATGATTTCTTTTGATTGTGGCATGACCTGTTTCCAGTGATCTGTATGGTAAAGACCTACTGTAACTCATCTTTTCTCCCTCTAATGTTGGATGGGGATGCCCGAACTCCCAAACTCAGTCCTTATTTATTGGTACCCCATTATTAAATCACCTGCTTCTAAATACCCACTGCCAAGTAAGCAAAGAGGTTAACTTATTTCACACTGAGTACAGTGATTCTTAATCATTCATTTTTCTATACCATGGCATCTGAGAAAAAACCCACAGGATTGGTAAATATAAACATTTTTGTTTTTTTAAGTAAAGGCTGATTTTTTTTAGTAACCAAGGGTGTCATGGTAAGTTGTAATTCATAGGTTTATATTGGAAAACACAAAGTTTTCTCAGTACTGTAATCAGAGATAATGAAGCTCAGACACATTAGATTGAATGGTAGGCTCCTTGGATCCAGCAACAATGGTGAGGCTTAAAAACAGGTAACATGCACTGTGACCGCCTCAAGATGTAAAAAGCAGTGAAGATCGCCTTTGATACCTTTAGCCACATCTTGTATTTTGGATAAACAGTTCAGTACAGACCATCGTCAATAATCAATCTGAATAAATATCTACCAAAGTCAAAGTCTTGCAGAGGAATCCTACTCCGTTGGGCTCCTGAGCAAGGCCATTTACCCCAACTGCTCCGGGGGTGCTGTACAATGGCTGACCCTGCGCTCTGACCCCAAGCTTCTCTCTCCCCGTCTGTGTGCCTGTGTGTCTCATGGACAGCAAGCTGGGGTATGAGAAAAGACCAATTCCTAATGCAAGAAATTGTATGTGGCTAATAAAGTGATTATTTTATGTTTTCCCCAAACAGTTTAAAAAGAGGCTAAGCAACATAAATCTGCTTATGGTTTTGAACACAAAATTGTCAGGAAAAGGATTGGTATTAGATGGATTTGCATTTTAATGTTGCATTGCTAAAACAATCAACAACACATTTCCTTAGAATAGAGGAAAAAAGAGAAAAGATAGTACAGCCTTCTCCTAATATCTAATGCTAGACAAGGATGCAATTTTGAACAAAAAAGAGCCTTGATTATTTGATCATTGAACACCTGTTTCATGTTTTTTTAAATCAAAATGTGATTTTATGAAAAAAGTGAAAAGAGGAATTTTAGCCTTAAAATAACATGGTATATTTTGTCAATATGGTTACACATAAGATATGTTACGTAACTATAGCTCTTCTGTCACTACCAGGATTCGATTACTGTTGGTCACAGGTTCAGAAAAGATGAGTTCCAAGACAATAGCAAACTCCGCTGCACACAAAATGGTCTAATACAGTAGAATTCTGCACTGCCATGTGTAACCTCTTCACAACATTGAGTCTCAATATGTACTGTATAGTATAGTCTAATAGGAGATAATAAGGTCAAATTCTGATAACTCTACTGTCCAGAAAATTAGTCCAGAGTGGAAACATTTTAAAAATAGAGTAGACCTAAAGTTACCTTGTATTGGGTATTGACCATGGTGCACTGAAAATGTACAAAGTGCGTTATATTGATGATATGAACGTGTCAGTACATCAGATGTATCCCACAAGGCAGGACATAGAAGCTAAAACGTTTTTCTTTCCATTACAACAATACATTGTTATGAAGTTTTTAGAATTCCAGATTTTCTTTTTGTGGAAAAGAAAATGTATTTGCCTTAAAGTAAAACCAAACTAGTATTCAGAACACATCACCTTTTATTATGCTTTTGTGTTTTTTGCCTCCAATAATTACAATTTCAAAGCACTGAACACTAGACCATTAGAAAACATTCTCTTTAGTTGAGATACAGTATTTGCATCTTAATTTTATATTATAGCAAAAGCAAAACTATAGAGCCTTACATTAGAACTTTCCTAAAATTTACATACATACAAAATTAAGTGTTTACAATACAGATGTAAAAAAAAAGTGCAACAAAGTCCATATCTCAGTGGATATAACTCTTACAATCCCTGCCTGTGAAATAAAGGGGAACAAAGTAAAAGTAAAATTGTGAGAAAAAAAACTAATCAATACTTCATTGTTCTTTTGTTCAACATTTTATGCGCATATCTGGCCTATATTGAGTTATGTAATTGATTTTTTGTTAGGTATTTTGAAGCCAATATAAAATTTGAGACACTAAAATAGCTTGACAGCATGGGCAATTGTACAGTGCTTGAAAGCAGTTTCTAAAATATTTTTGAACATTCACAGTAGATGCAAAAAACAATACACAAATCTTTATCAAGCTTGTAAAAACAGATGACCTTGAAAATAAATATGTTTACATTCAAATCACAGGTTGCCTGCTGAATTTATTTTTCATAGGTGGTTAATGCAAAAGAGAGCTAGTTTTCAATTTTACAAATAAATAGAAAGGTCATGTCCTAAAAAGAAAAAATTGCCAAGCTATTTCAGTAAAAAAAAAATCTACACAAAAGTAAAATATACACAGTACATACTAAATAAATTTACATTCTTGGTGTGTATACAGGAAAAGATGACATTTGTTTTAGTAATGAAAGCATTTAATTTGCCGTTGTTCTTCTTATGAATCTCATACCATATATAAGTTGATAGTAGGCCAGTGCAGGACACAAAACTCTAAGGTACGCATACAAGCTAGTGCAGCTCTGACACCACGTGCTAGTAAATGTATCCACAATCACATCTACCACATACCCTAGTGTGTTTATACACGTGATGGGAGTGATTGTGAATACATAGGTAAATATACTGGACAATACATTCCTAGTGTATGTATGTGATTCTTAGTCAAGGTTCTTCATTACTAATATATATTTTGATAATGCACTGCTGATTAAATTAAACAAAAATAGTGCAATGCGATTTTATTAATCCAATATTTTTAACAAGAAATTTTCGAGTACTGCATCCAATTAATCATAACTCTGGTTGTACTCCTTAATCAGCACTACTTACCTTCCTTTAAAATGCTATTTAATTATCAGTCACATACTGTAATTGAAGGCATCTATATTGCTTTATTTTGTATTATATCCAAAATTACATAACAGTTTTGTAATTAATTGCACAACAATATATCAATATTTGAATTTCAGGAATAAAGGTAATACAAAATCTATGACCTTGATTATTCAAGAGAGTGTACCTCCAAATTGGTCCTTGAAAATTGACTTCAATGTCAGAAATGGATAGTACTTTTTATTTGTGGTCACTAGTATTTGAGGAGTGTTGTCTTGGGAAAATAAATAATTTAAAACTTAAATACGTCAGCCAGTTAAAAAATTACATATTGCTATCTGAAAATCCGTAACAGACGAAAGTACTCATTAAACATCTTATTACATAGATCCTACTCAAGTCTCGAGTGTGTGGTCCCTCCTAAAAATTAATAAAACAGATATTTTAGCTTTCCAAAAAAAATGGCCTGTTACAAATTGCTCAGTTTGTTGATGACAGACTGGTTTCAATATATATAAATGCATTTCACACACAGTTTTGAAATAAATAGATATTGTTGCGAGTCTCTTTGTAATAAAAATGTACACCATCCCTTTAAAACTGCCTATTTTTAAAATGTGATCATCTAGAAATTAAATTAACATTTTCTATGAAGCAAAAACTACTTGAATACATTAGAAATCCAGAGATAGTTATAATTTCTAATAGCAAGAAACTATGTTTGCACTTGAAGGTTTTAGATTTTAAATATATGCGTGCATTATTCTTTTGACATTTTTAATAGGCTAATATTCCTTGCTGTAGGTAATTAGGCTAACTACATAGTATCTTACAGGCTATAGCTATACTACATGTTTTCAAGATACTTAAAATAACTGATCTATGCTTCTTAGAATGTCTTTTTTAAAATCAGTAGCTCCGCACTGTTTATATACAGCTGTACTCTGTAATGCAGGCAACAACTGTGTTATTGGAAATTAAAGCAAAAACATTTATATTGATTCCCAGACCAATCCTTCAAAATGGTTTTGGTTTAGTGAAGACCAGTTCTAGCAAGTATAGTTCAAATATACAGTAAGTAATCCAATGAAATCTAATTTATTAGACACTGCATTGGATATTTTTCAGGAGTTTATAGAAATACAGTACTTGGGACATTTTTAAGTAATGTGTGTTTTTGTTTTTAATGTAGATTAATAATTTTGTAAACTTTGACCCTTCATATATAAAATCAGAAGGTTTGCCAATTTTCAGTTACAATCTAATGCTCTAGGAAGTATTTTTGAATTTCTCTGTTCTTTTGGTGGAACTACTGCTTATTTTATCTTCATTTAATACACCAATTTATAGATTTCCTGTTCAAAGCAAGTACATGAATGCTCTTTTCTCTTACTGCACATAATTGAGAAAAGCTTTCTGGAATTTTCCTTACTCTTTTGATGTGAGAAAATAATTTGTTTTTTTACAAAAATAGGGTATTGTCAATATATAACAGAGGTACAGTATGCTGCCTCAAAGGAGAACTGTGCATGTTTACACAGTGAATTAATTCAGTTTCCCTGTTCTATATTTTGCAAAGACACATGAGAACATCTAAACATAGTCATACAGAAAATTACTATTGATTTAAGCAGTTTCTGTAAGGCAGCAGTCAGAATTAAAATCCCTTTTCATTCTTAGCCCATGGTTACAGTCAGGACTGGACTTGTCTGAACAATTCAAATACGGTAACTTTATTGGTTCGTAAGCCACAAACAAGCAGTATCTTTGATCTTTATTAAGCTTTCTTAAATATACATAGACAAGCATTTATTTTTTATACATGTACATACGTTTTTTAAGTTATTGTCAGACCTTAAATTATATGCTGTCTAACAAGGATTACAGTACTACCTGCGGTGTCAGATCACCACACAAATGTGCATTATACCTGTTTGCACAAGCAACTGTAGATACCAGCATTAAAAAGAGGCTCAAGCAAAACTGCTGGAGCTGAGACACTGAAATTTTTCTCTCAGGGACTGTACAATATTCTGCTGGTTTGCAGGAGGCACACTCCAAAGGTAATCATTCAGTTTGTCGTGATCTGCGAGGGCAGCCAACGAGACAACAGGGCTCATGGTGCCATGACAAGACTTCACAGGGGTGCAGGGCAAGCTGAGTGACTGTGTCAGGCCCCTGTTGAAGTGCTCTTGGGCCGATGGTGTTGAGGCGGCTTGTTTTGTGCTTTGTTCCGTAACTGAGGCCTGATCTTCATCATCAGATTTGATTTCAACGTAGTCTTCATCATCTTCATCCCCGGTGTCCTTAAAATTGGCAAAGTAGTTCTGTGTGGCAATGTGAGCATTCAGGGGGGAGTTCCTGTTCACTACCAAAACCTGCTGGGAGTCCTGAAGTATCATGTCCGACCGGCTTTCTGGCTTCTGATCAGAAGAACTGTGCTGATGTCCCGACTGGGCAGAATGCTCGGTTCTGTGAGGTGAAGGTAGTCCACAGTTGTTTTCCCCTAATGAATTTCGGTTGGAGGCAACCCGATTCCTTTCTTTTGGATACCGACTGCCAGCGATTTCTATAGTTTTGTTGTTCATTTTGACTGAGGATGAGGACTGGCATCTGTTGTAAGAAAGTGGCTTGGCAGATTCTGGCCGCCGCCCCAAAGAGTTGTAAATGTGCTCCTGGCTAAAGTTTTCCTTGTTGGGCTGGTTCACAAAGGCACTCCATCTCTGGGCTGGGGGACACGGGGGTGTAGCAGATTTCAGAGCTGGGACAGAGCAGGCAGGAGACAGCTTCCATTGTGGAGCCGACATCTGATTCTCCCCTTTGAAGTCTGTTTCATTTGGCCAAGAAACAAAGTCCGCCAGCTCCCCGTTACTGTAGGTGGAGTTCAGCCAGTCCTCGCTGAGTCGGGAGTTGTCAGAATCCAGCTGAGAGCAGTGTTGCAGGGGGGACTGCTGTTCTACAAAGGACTCACCTACGTGGCTACGTGTGGCCTTCTGCGTGCAGGATGGGGTCTCTCTGAACATGATCTGCTCATACAGCTGAGAGTATTCTGCAATCCTGGCACCTGAGTGTGAAGAAAGTCATTATCCAGATCAGAAGGATTTAAATGGCTGCATAAGTGCTGAACAAAAATGACCAGTATTTTCCATTTCTAAGTTCTAAAATATTAAATATTATACATATTAACATAACATAAAATCATAATAAACTATTATATAGTTTTGTTGAATAAAAAATGCATGCACATTTAAAAAAAAAGTATTTTAAACTTGAAAGCTCAAGTGGAAGCACCAGTGGTGGCAGAACACATCTGAACCATTAAGACTTTTCAAAGGCAACTGTTCTAAGGCTGTATTTCTGTATTACTTAACTAATCACTGGGTTAGTATGTAAAGTGTTTTATACAGAAGTCCATAGCCTGTGAGAATCGATAGGGTATTGGATGAAAGAAGAGCAGGATGCTTGGAAAGCAAGCTGAAGGTTGTTCACCACAGCTTTCAAATTAGCGACACCAAAGGTTAGGATCACAAAACGAATCCACTGTAGCTCATGAGTGAGCCTCTCCCTGCCTCTCTCCCAAAGTAACCACTACCGAGCATCTGCATCTCAGCCTGGGCCTGTCTGTTTTTATATCATCAGGAGTGCGCACTGTTCAGTGTTGGCAGTGTAAGGAATGACGGTCTGGAGGTAGCTTTACAGGCTCACTGACAGTTTTGTTTCCCATTTCATTACAGTGGGGTGTGTTTATCACAGAGGCAGAGAGAGAAAGTGCAGACATCTGCTTGATGCAGAGGTGGGAATCATGCTGTTGTTTCAACTGATTCTATAAGATTCTGATCACAACTGTTGTTCTTTTAGTTGATCACTGTTATTTAAATTAACATAAAGGCAATGCATAAGTACTTTGATTATTATATAAGGGAGGGCTATTTTAATATATGCATACTATATACTGTAGTACATTATAGGGGTGGACTTGGTTATATGTGAATCTGGCTATTCATGACAGTGCTCTGCACCAAATCCTTGCAAATGTCGAGACACATCTGTATATAATTTGTACACCATCAAAGGTTATATGTATTGTTTGTCTGCTAGATAAAAAATAGTTGATATACACTCAAACCTACACACTAAATGCGGCAACCACATAGGTACGCAAGTTTGTGTTCACATTAGTAATTGGATATGAAGATGGCACAACACCTTACAATTGTATCTACACACAGGAGGGACTTACCTATGGCAGCTCCTCCCTGTTTCTTTTCTTCCAGTATTGCTGCAAGGTCTTTCGGTTTTGCTTTCTGTCTTCCAGGTCCATGCTCGTGCTCTGGGCTTCTCATTTTGAGAAGCTGGTTGGCTTTCTTTATCTTCTGGCTGTATTGCCTTGCCATCAGAAACACCCTATTCTTTGTTTTATCTACAATATCACCTGACAAATCTATGCTTTCTGAACTGGAATGGGCGAGGATGCTGTTGCTGGAAAGCAGGGGGTTCTCCAGATTTCCCGTGTCATTTGAGAAGCTCTTGCCGAGACCAAAGACAGACCTTTCTCTGTGGCTGTCCCCTTCCTCAGATCTAAAGCTGCCACTGCTGAGCCTTGCTAACTTGCTTTTAACAGCCTTGATGGTGCCAACAGTCTCTGTGAAGGAAAACGACGTTTGATGCTCAGTGTTTTCCGTGGTCTCCCGTCTGTGAAAAGCAGGCACTTTACCAGAATGCGTCTCCTGAGCATCTTGCCTGTTAACAGGGAAGGCAGCGGGGAGACATTCTGGTTTCTTCTCGTTCTTTTTAATGTAGTTCTCCAGATCATTCCATATCTCGTCAACTTGTTCTGACATCTTGTCTGCAGCCGACCTGTGGGAGAAGGAGTCCGAATTGGAAGAGCTGTCCACCCAACCGGAATAATCAGGCTCTGCAGGCACGCGGTGGTCCGATGCATCCTCTTCACTGAACTGAAGACTTTCTTCAGAAATGAACCTGCCTAGACTGTCACAGCCAGCAAAATCCGTTTCAAACGCCAACAAGCTGTCCCTTTTACCTGCTTCGGCATAATTCTTGTTGTGTTGTTGTGGAACCTGATCAGAGAAACCTATAGTGTCATAAATGTTCTCTTCAACTATTTTTAGCTCACATTTCCCAAAAGAAACAAGATCCTCAGAACAGGATTTGTTGGTGCCCAGCAGAGGAGATTGGTCTTTCCTTTCTGCAACAGCTGGACTTGCCTGTCGTTCTTTAGGGCGCACGTTTGAACTTGTTCTCTCTTCAGCTGTTCCTTGTGAAGTACGGACACAGTCTTGGTCCCTTCGGATAAGACCCATCGATTTCAAGTCTTCATAGCTGATGTTGTCATACACATTTTCTATGTCGTCAATGGTCAGCTGCTCTGCAGAATCCGAACCAGAAATATTGCTGGACGTCTCTTCTATTTGCAAGCTATTGGGTTGGTGGGTTTGTCTGTTACGGTCCCTTGAAACAGGAGCCTTAAAACTCGAATTTTTCTCTCCGACACTGCTGGCTCTTCTGATGACTTTTCCGCTGGCCTTGGGTGACTCTTGTTGCAGCTGCTCAACATGCCAGCTGCACGGCCTTCCAGAACCTCGACTCCCTTCCTTGATTCGGGACACCCGTGGATAAGGAGCAGCAACGGACGGCATGAACATCTGGTAGATGTCCTCCTCTTCTTCGGCCTGCAGAGTGGGCTGCCGACTTGGAAACAGCGCCTGTCTGATCTGGTGATCTGCCCAGATGTTCCTGATGGTGTGATCGCCACCTAGAATAGTGTCTAGGTGGGAGCTCCGGGCTGTGTTAGGTTGTCTGATTTTTGGGTGAGACAAGTTGCCAACACAGCTTGCGCCATTTGGTAAAGACCCTTCAGCTGCCTGCAGAAAGCAAATCAACAAAATGAATACAGTTTCACAGTTTTGCTGCATGCACTTAAATACATCATCTAAACATTTTTTTAATAACTATCATGTTAAATAAGCTGTTCTTTTAACTGATTAACTGTAATTTGAACTTGCCACAAGATGCATGTATTTTACTTCACATAGTTAATGCTCATCAAGAGTTCAATGCAATTCCAACATTTAAACATCAATTACAATTTTCAATGACTAAATTTCAACATCTGTCAGGGTGGAGGAACCCAGTTGCTTGGTACTCAATTACCTGAGAGTCTTGTGCACCTGCAGTAATACTTCTTCGTTTTTCAACGTTCTCTGAAGCTTGGCTGTTAAGCCTTTTCCGAGCACCTTTCATTTGGATTTTGAAATTCAGCCCCATACTCTTCAGACAAGAAAAAACATGGAAAGAAATTATTGCTTCACATCTAAGATAACCAAATACATTTCAAAAAAGAAATTTAAAAACTGCTGTCCTGTTTCTGGGATTCAAACTGAGGACAAATTAGAGCTGTGATATAAATTAATTTAAACTGATTATAAAAATTCTCAACTTACAATTTGACAGATTGTCACATAATAAATGCAAAATACAAGCCTCTTCCCATGTTTATTATACACTACAACAAAATGCACCTTAGATACTGTATGGTTCAAATTACCATCAAAGTTTAATGTTTAAATGAATTTTCATGACAGATCGGTAGCATGTAATCATGATAACTTAACCATTCAAGTCTTTTGACTTGAGTGGTAAGAGAACATCGCTATTCTTAAAGTATTTGAAATAAGGAATCCAAAAGCCCCAACCTTTATTTATTACACAATGCTGTGTTCTCTTTTATCAAACAAGACCCTCCTAAGGCACTAATGAGAATCAAGGCTGTTTGACTAATAGTGAATCTTCTTTCAGCATCTTATGGAAGTTCAATGATAAATATAAACTGAAAGAAAAAAACTAAATACAAATCGTGTAATCTTCTTCAATGTTATTTTCGTAAAGCCAGTGGGAATTCCAGGATCCGATATGCTGAGCTGTTCAACATTAGTCTAGAACACGATGCTTTATCACATTATTTAGAACAAACAGAGGAGACTCACTCTAACTTTTAGATTTCGGTCCTTATTTTTGTTTAATTACCTTCATTTTCCTTTGAGCCATGCAATGGAAACAACATGCTATACAATCTTTTAAAAAAAAGGGAGTAAATGTGTTTTAACATTTCCATATCTCCTTGAGTGACTGCACTCACCAGATCAGTCTCATCTTCGTCCTCTGCATCAGCCAGCTCTCCTGCTTGCATGTGCAAACTCTCCTCAGTGTCACTGGTTGGGTCCAGGGAATCCTGGGATTTACTGGCCAGATCCCTGTGAGCTTTTGTCCTGCTGGAGCTCAGCTGCCCCTCGCTCAAGTCCAGCTTGCCAGCCTGGGACAGGAGAGATCCTTCCATGCTGATTCTCTGAGAAAATAATACAGACATTCTCTGATTAAATAAAATATTTATAGTGAGAGATCATGCTTCATATTTAGTCAAAATAGTGAATACATAAATCTATATGGATATAAAAATTAATACAAAAAAGAAACAACATGCAGTATTTAAGTACATATTGCATTGTAAGTACTTCAAACACTGTCAAGAGCCATTTTGAAAAATGCTTAGTGCATCTCAGTAAGTTCTTATTTTATTTTGATTAAACAAAACTAGATTTGTCAGCAATTCTAACCAGAAAATGAGGTGGTCAAACAATGTCGGAAAGATCAAAATTGCCATTTGGCCTTTTATCTTTTCTATTGAGTAATTCCAGGTCTTACTTACCTTTTGCACATCTGGATCTGCATGGGGGAAGAAAGGAGAAACACAAGGTTTAAGATTACAATGTTCTTAAAATTTAAAAAAACATGTCTACGTTTTACAGGTGAGGACTTGTCTGAGACCTACCATTTTGCTTTGAAGTTCTTAGCAGTCTTGCAGAGGGTTCTGATAAAAAAAAAAGATAATGGATTTAGAGAGCAGAAATATAACATTTTGGTAATTAAGGACATGTGATGGTATACAAACTTTGTAGACTCTTATAACAATTTGATCTCTTACATCTTATTTTTTCAGAAAGACAATGTCACAGGTACAGATTCAATTTTTCCAATCACGGTATAAAATGTCACACATAATGAATAAAAGGCGAAAAGCCAAGGTAGCATCACAAGAAAACAGGCTTTTCAGATTGTTCAGCTTCTTGGAAAAAGAAGATGATTGAAAAAGAATCATGTTTCACCTTTACTTCATCAGTATAATTAATCACTGCTCACCTGACTTCCTTCTCACCCTGCGAGGAGTAGTGCCGTCTTTTGAGTGCGAAGCAGCTTTCCTTTCACCCTCAGGGCTATAATGGAATCCAGGGTGATCTGTACAGGACAAAAGACAAAATCCTTTAACCAGTTTTAACAATAAAATAATTTTTAATTCTACAGACACAATATGTTTTAGCAGCATGTTGCTGTAAGGCTTGAGTGTATTGTTAAATAGAAATGGCTGGATATTTGGAAGATTCAACCATGGAAAGTGTGACAGTTTGTATTGCAGTTCATGAATGATACCTTGTGGTGTCTTACAACAGGTTAATGTGCTTAAGGTGCTTGCATATTTAGTTCTATGATAAGTTCTATTATCAAATAAAACTTTGATAAATATTCCCTTTTATCACAAGATTGATTTACAATCTTTTAGGTTGCAGTTGTGGTCTAACAAACCGGGTGAGTATTGAATCATTCTACTACATTAAATAGTGAAGTTAATTCTTAAAAATCTTCTTTATCACAGAGAGTGAAACTTTGCAATGAACATTTCAGAGGTCCAGTTATTTTTCTTTTGTAAACAAGTAATTTTCAGATTAATAGGACAATAAATGATACTTACACACAGCATCCATCTCTAAAATGGCTTGCTTAGCCTGTAGAAATGAAAAACTCAGATGAAAGATAGCTCAGTTTATAAAGTCTGGATACTTAACAGTTCAGGATTTCCTTAATCCTCAACATTCACAATACTTTAACAATGTATATCGTATGATGTAGAAGTTAATATTCTTATGTCTTAAGACTTAAACATTTAACAATACAGATCTATTAAATTAATACTTTTTGTTCTAAGTAAGTCATTCATTTTCACAACAACATTATGCTTTTAAGTGGAACTGGTAGACAATCAGGACTGTGTATGAGTGATGTACAACTGCCACATGTATATGTCTATGGCTGTATATGGCTGTGGTTTTTTTTGGGGGGGAGGTAGTATTCAGATGAGAAGGGTTTAACAGCAAAACACATTTTTGTTGCATTTTCTTTTGAGAATTTACTTCTTAATCTAAATTAAAAGATTATGACAATTCTTCCTTTCTTAGCAGTACTCCACTTAAATGTCCTACAATTCTGGCAAACTTGGCATCTTGAATTTAAAATATTTTCTTCACTAGATGGTGCCTGAGTACCACATTTTGCAATCTGGAAATAGGGCCATGATGAAGCATACGATAAAAAAAATCCAATAGAAGCTTATGTTTTAAAAACACGACTATACAATTTGTAGATGCCCCACATCAAAGAATAAGATGTTTTTAATCCAGTTTTTTACAGGTGTAGATCTATTCATTACACTTTGTAATAGAGAACATTTATATGAGCAATGTGCTGAGCGCAACAAACAATACAATACATAAATGTAACTTAAGTCTGATGAATGTGATCTGACCTTGGCTGGAATTTTAGCTGGGTGGTTTTCAAGTATTAGTCTTTTTAAGTGAAGAATCCACAGTCTTTTGTCCTGCTGGGATTTTGCCTTTAGGGGGAAAAAAGAGGTTTAAACATGTTGTGGATATTATAAATTCATTAGTTCTGACCATTTTAATTAAAACAAAATATTCTGTTTGTAGATATATCTGTCGGAACCTAAACATTTTAACCCTGCAGAAATAAATCAACAAGCAAAGCTCTGTTGTAGCAAAAATTAAAACAAAAAACCCAATATAATTAGCAGTATACATTAATTCCATTAAAAAATTAATTTTAACATTAATAAAACACTGGCTTAAGTTTTTCTTATTTCAGAGTGTTACGTGTTTTTGACAAAGTTAAACAAACATTCATGTCAATATCGGTGTTGGATGTTTATTTTTCATGCTGTAATCTGTCTTAACAATGACGATGTTTTCTCAATTTACCCCTATCTTTTCATTCATTTCTTCAGATGGATAACAAGAGCCACCAGTTAAAATGAGCCCAGATTTGACTGGGTCACAGTTCAGCTGTCCATCAACAGCAACTGCAAGTTCAGCTATGTTTGCTTATTGTATGGGTGGCTGGGCATCCTAAATTACACTTCTTTACCCTCCAGGAGAGCAGCAACCACTCTCAATCAGGAGAGAAGACCACTGCACATAACTCAGACTCAATCAGCTCCAGTTTACAGTATTGAAAAAATTATTGAAAATGGTGCCACAAAATCACATGGTGTTTGCGGATATACAAAATTCAGTTTTTTACATTTTTTGTCCGTTTAGTGGTGTTCAGGTGAATAAGGGGTTACAATTTGCCATTCTGCTGCATTCGGCTCATAAACTTTAAGAACCTAATGAAGCAAACATTATTTCTACTCACTGCATCCACTCCAATTATCAGTGACTCAATGTAAATGACACTTAAAAAAACCCAAACAAATCATAACTGGTGAGAGTACCTGCACAGTGTGTTGAAGTTTTGGATTCTTGTAATGGAAGACACTAAAGCTCAGAGGTTCCTTTGGTATGACTTCGACCAGCATCAGATTACAACACTGTCAAAAAAAAAAACGGAGAAATCTGAGAAACGGCAAAAAAGTTACTCCTGTAAAACTACTTCTTAATCCCTTTGTATAAATAATGTACCCTCAGGTCTATTTCCCTCAGATTGCAGCATTTCCATCCATTTTCATTTATTCCACAAACCATTAAGTCTCAATCCAAAGTATGGAAAGCAATCTGCTAGATTAAACTACATTGTTCACACACTGCTTACCAAGATGTGGGCCTTGTACGTGTAGGATTCTTCCCTTTTCTTTGTAATAAGCAGTAGTTTATCAAAAAGAAACAAAGTGCGCTCATTCTTGGCACGCTGGATGCGGAACGTTCCCTCTAGAACCAGCTCCCCATAGCTGATCAAGTCTGGGCCTTTCCAATTGGTGAGTAAACTTTGAATCTCCTGTAAAAGAAACACGTTGATGAATACCTCCATGCACTGCCACCCTTCCAAAGCACATTCCAGCACAGGCTCGGCAGATAAAAGAATCAGTCCATGCTGTTATTGTTGGTGCAGTGAGGACTGAATTATTGCTAAATGATGATAATTGAACCATTTGAAATCAGTAACTGGCTTTTTCAATACATTTGGCCACCTTGGTTTGGTTATCTATGACAGTATAAAATACAGGGGAACTTGCCTGTAACCTCACAGCATGCTCGTGTTTTCTCTTCATATCATTGATGTGCCATGCAACTCTCTGCATAGTGTCAATGGCATCCAGTACCACATCATAGGCCTCTGTGTCCTTATCCAAGTGGTTTGCGATCTCCTGCAGGGACAAGAGAGCGTTGTAAAATTACTATAATGGGAGAGGCCGGCTCTGGTCCTGGAAAGACCCACTCCAACAGGTTTTATGAGTCACCTTAAACCACCAAATTGTAGACACTGTGATGTCTGATCAAATGTAGCAGCTGACTTTTCTCAGTAAACTAGAAATGACCATCTGTGGCCCTTAAAAGTTTAATTTTAATTTACCTCTGAACTACTTAATTGAACAAAACACCAGCTTAATAGGTTATAATGATATGATTCCAAACATTGTTCGGTTTCAGTTCTCCTGAACCAGATCTGTACCTTATACATTCCTTTTGCTACAGAAATATGGGTAGAGTTTCCCTCCGTCTCTCTGATATGCTGAGGTTTTTTGTTACATCTTTGCTTACTGCTTGGACTACTGCATTGCTGTATGTACTAGACTCCCCACACTTCAGCTGGCACAAATTGCAGGAGCCAGAATTCCAGTGGGTATCAGTTTGCATGAACATGAACATTTTGTCCTACTCTGGGGTGGCATGGTGATTACCATTGCTGCCTCACAGCTCTAGGGTACTGGGTTCAATTTCCAGGCTACGGTAGCTTCTGTTTTAGCATGTTCTCCCCACGGTGTCCACTCCAGGGTCTAGCTCTTCTTTATACATATGCCTGTAGGATAGGCTCCGGGTTGCCTAAACCATTACCAGGAAAAAGCAGTTTTCTGATAATGAACCAATGTTTTATTCTGGATTGATATCAGCAGAACCATATCAGGAATACATTATTCTAATAACCTGAGGCTTTTACAACCACCAGGATCTTGTATGTAACTCACGAGTGCAATACCTGGGACATGTTCCTTTAGTTAGGGACCCCTACTGTACGTTCTCCTAGTTCACTGTACAATTACCGACACTTTACAATTACGAATTATTTTTTAATTACACAAAAATTCTGTTAGGGTTATTCTTTAAAGAAACTCCCTGTGTAAAGGTCAGAGTACTGACATGAAGGAGGAGATGGTACTTCAGGATCCTCTGGACTGGCTTGAGCAGGTAGGATCCCAGCGGGAGGGAGTGCTTCAGCGATTCCTGTCGCTCCCGGAAGAACTTGGCCAGAGCTTTGTTCCTCATGCATTCTGTCAGCACAGCCACTGATCTGAAAACACCAAAGACAATCTGCACATTTAGCTCTATCTTCAAAAATATTGGAGATGAAATAAGACCTTGATATCCACTACCAGTGATAGGAAAAAGTTAAACCAGCATGAGGTCTGACCTATTTTCTGTCAGAGCAGATTTATACTGCAATATGATATAATACTTTAAAAGATAAGGAAATGGAAATTGACCATGCTGTAAAACAAGCTGAAAAATATGGCCTTTTGAGTTGCTCTAAGGGTTAATCCACACCGAAAAGTGAGAAAGGGAAAAATAAATCTTCACGCACTTTTCTATAACTAAGTAGCACACCATTTTGGAGATGTAGCTCTTGGAATATGAACCCTGGTGTTTTTTGAAGGCTCTGCAGCAAAATCCACCAAATTCCACTGTTTATATGCTTGATCAGCTCTGGACAGGGCAGCCATTGTTAAGAGGCAACATAACCTAGGCAAGTGAAACTCTTTTGTAAGAGCATTATTATGTGCTATTCAGTGGGTTTCATTATATCATCCCACTGGAAAAGACAGGGTGTGTGGATGGGGGAGAGGTGCCTGCAATGATTTGACTGACACTCTCAGAACTGTCAACTGATTCTCCAGCAGGGATCATATAACCCTGCCTGGGGTCATTGCTGTGCAAAGAGCAATTTGTCAAGGGAAAGGAAACAGAAGTTCTTTTTTCTGCAGAAAACCCAGAAATTACTCAAGGTTTCAAAACGTTCATTGAAAACAAAAGGTTTTGTACTGACATTAACAGACCTGGTTTCCTATATAGAAAAAAAGACCCCAACTCAAGATTAATATCATAGAAAGCAAATAATTACTCTTGCAGTCTCATTTCTAAAGATAAAAATAGGGTCAGATTGCTGAACACTCTCTCACGTCTCTCTCATTTCACTTTAAAGGGCCAAAATGTGGGAACAATGTTTTACACTACTCATCTAATCCAAAAGGAAAAATTACCTGTATTATGATTAAACTATAGTGAGTTTTTAATGCCAAGTAGATCATAACTCTATCCATAAAATGATATGAAAATGAACAGTTTTAAGAAAGACAAAGATTCATGGATACAGCACAATTTCTTTAAGACCAGTGCTTACATATTGCAAAGACAAGTTAAACTTTGTAAAATATTTTAGAGCTCCAAGCCAGAAGCACACAAAAATGATCAAGAAGTCCCTTGCATTGAGCCCAAAGCTTTAACTCATTTTCATCATCGACAAAAGTTAGAATCTTCAATGCAAACTTTGGAAAAACAACATTTACACAGATTTTCATATTTAGTGCCTGCATGAAAATGTGATTAGCATAAGTTTCTAAGCACAAATAGGATGCTACAGGCACTCCTTTGGAGTGCACTCATTTTATTCCTTTAGCTCAGGAATGCAAACAAAAAAACTCCATCAGAATATTATCGGCAGTCTAATGTTTAGAGGCCCTTAATTCAGTGTTCTTGTATTGCTGTTACACAACATTAAGTAGATTGATGCACCAAGATATGTTTAAAATATTTAAAGTCTTTGCTCTGTCTCCAACATATTCTGAAGTAAAAACATCATCTTGAATTGCAAGTGGTATCTAGAGGTCAGGCACAGGAGCTTTACAAGACAACATTTTTTAAAAAAACAAGCAATAGTTTATCTTACCTTGGGTAGTTGGTACAGTATTGAGTGTATATGTGGAACTCTTCACTCTATATAAAAAAAACAACAAATAGTAGTTAAAGGATAATGCTGTATTTACAATTTGCTCCTTTGCTAGATATAACCCTCCACTTCTCAACAGATATAGTGTGGCGCCCAGCATGGGGTGAATCCCTGCAACAATGACTTCTGTAGCTCCTATGGCCGGCATGCTCTTTAAATTTCTTAGGTACAGGTATGAAAATACATTGCTGTAATCAACCATGGAGTGTTAACAAGCCCCTTAGTAATACCTAGTAAATGTTGAGACTAACTGGGGCCCCTTAGTAATACCTAGTAAATGTTGAGACTAACTGGCTACAGGGAATAAACACATATTTCAAGAAAGTGGAGAAGTGTTGGCTAGGCTGAACTGTGCATACATTAGTGTAAAAACGTTAATTAATTCAGAGAAGAAATATGGTTGCTTATTATTTGAAAAAGATCTGTATAGTTTGGGAAACATTTGCAAACCATACATTAAGCTTTAACTAGACAAGTGAAACACATTTCTTGAGCAGAAGTGTCCAAAGATGTTTGTAATTGTATACTGTATGTCTTAAATAGCTGATGTGTTGTGAGTGTTCTGGCGCGCTATGGCTGCCGTCGCATCATCCAGGTGGATGCTGCACATTGGTGGTGGTGGAGGGGAGACCCCATTACCTGTAAAGCGCTATATTAGTGTAAGCAATTATTATTAAATCACAGAGCAAAGTCAGAAATACAGATTTTAAATGTCACAGCAGTGTTGTCACCATTAAGTAAACAGACATCGGGGGATGATTGGAAATACATGACATGTGAAGTCAAGGTGTCTGTTTCTTAAAACCCGGGCGATAAACTTTGTCTATATAGAGGAGGAAGAAAAACCAAGACCTCCCACAGTAATTGACTCTCCATGCTAAGATAAGATCACTTTATTGGCCATATACAATTTCTTGTATTAGAAATTTGTTTTTTCGCATACCCCAGTTTGCTCTCCATTAAACACACAGACATGGAGAGAAGCTTGGGGTCAGATCACAGGGTCAGCCATTTATACGGCGCCCCTGGAGCAGCTGGGGCTAAGGGCCTTGCTCAGGGGCCCAACAGAGTAGGATTCCTCTGCCAGCCACGGGATACGAACTGGCAACCTTCCAGCCACAGAGCCACCGCTCCTCCCCATGATAGTGAGCCATAGTTATTTGTTCTTAAACATCTGGAAGAGCTTGCAAACTCTAAGGATGAGCTTTCATGCAGCACATGTCTGGTTTCCACTGTAACAGTGAAGGTGATGAAAGAGTGTGTGGACATGGGATAATGGACAATCTTTTGAGCTGTATGTCGTTCCAGATAGAAACTATAGGTCATGTCAAGGGCCAATAAGCAATTAGAAGGTCAAGCCATGCATGCAATCAGCTGAATTCATTGAAGCACAATAACAGCAAATTAGCCACAGTCCCACTCCCTTAAAATACAGACTATTTTATTATTTAATACCCTGCACCATTTGAGTTGAAAGGAAAAAAATCTAGCTTTGAAAAATTCAATAAATCAAAAATAATTCCCACTTGCAACGATTTCATGTAAGTCATTTTTTTATAATCACAGGACAAACAAAGAACATCATTCTACTTGCCAGTTATTGTGCTGACAGATTTTTATTTTTTTAGGTGCACACCCAGTATTATCAGTTAATGTTGGGTACCTGTTATATCAAAGCATACTGTACTCCTTAGAGAGACATGGTGAGCATGACTGTGCCAGCACCCATGACTAAAAACAGCTGAAGATAAGTCAAGGGATAGCTGAAGACATTACAGTGAGTAATTACCTGCTTAAGCAGATAATGTTATGTTCTTATGTATAATTGAGGATGCAGATACAGAACATGGAAAAACAAAATCTAATTTTTAGTGCTTGTGAAGTTTCTGTTTTTTCTTATACCAGGGAGAGTCAGTAAATAATGAAAACTATAAACGCCATCTTGGATTTATATTTTTCTTTTTACACAATGACTTGCTGTACATCTTAAACAAGTCTTAAACCCCAATTGGAAATACAGGCTCTAGTGTGATAGCACTCCTGTATATTATCAGTTAAGGATTACAAGCACCAAAGACTTCTTCAACTATGTTTTAGATTGTTGCCTAAAAAGCCTAAAAAGCCTCTGAAAGTTGCCTGCTGTACAATTTTTAAAACAAATGAAATAAAATACATTAGGCAGGTCATGCACGCTTGAATACAAAGCAAAACATCAGTAAGATGACAAGGCTTGAATCTGAGATTTCAGCCTCTTCTCTAAGAACGTGAAAGAAAGGCAGTTAGAAGCCCAACTGAGTTCCCACCAGCACCGCCTCAAATATGCCACAAAGTACAAGAAGAGGACAGAAAATGACACATGGAATCCCTGTGGCTTATTAAATTAGTTTCTGAGTCCTCTTCCCTCCTCTCATTAAGAGCTTAGGAGAGGCGCCTAGGGATTCTCGCACATTGCTGCTTACGCTAAAAATACTTTGGAAACACCTGTTAAATAATTTCTGAATTCAGTGAAAGGTGAGCATCTTCTCATCCATGTTTGTCATGAAATATAAACACTTTGGTGTTAATACCTACGTGTTGAGAGAATTGCTTTAATTACATGTGAATTATAGTGGAACAGTATGCTGGAGTGATGCAAAGCTCTGCCTCACCTTGGCCCTAGTGAATGAAGTAGTACTAAAAATGGAGGGAAAACTGCAGAGTGATGAATCTATTAATCAGATGAAGAAATTATATCTAATCAACCGGAGAAAATACAAGAAAAACCTTGAACATCACAAACTTCAGCACGGAACAGATTATCATATTGTAAACACAAAGCCAGGTAAATAAAAACTCTTTGCCCATATTTATACCATAATAGGCATTGTAATATTTTTCATGAAAACCGGGGCAAGTTTATCCTGCCACAAGTTACCTGTTGTGTCTCAGGTCCAATCAAAACTTTGACCCATCTAATAATCCCAAGATAAAACAAATAGCACTTAACTGTGCCGTTTTTGTCGAGGCTTTTTATTTCTCACTAACTGAAACCCCCAATGGAAATAATGGGCCTGTTAATTGTAAGTAGAAAGTGGTTTGATTCATTGTGGATCCTTTCCTGGAGATTTTACTGGAGTGTGAAAAACGTTTTGAGGATATCAAAGGTTAAGCAGTGAAAAACCATCACATTATATCTGCTTTACTGAGCTTCTCACAGAGCAGGGCATTTTTTCTTTTGAGGTCACTAAAACCAAGTTTCATGTTTTTGGGCTTAAGCAGTTTGGAAATCTCTCTTTATATTGGCTGGGTTTTAAAAAAACACTTAACAAGATGGTGACATTAGGACATGCTCCTCATTCTAAAATACTTTACATGGTCTATGGAATACAAGTGGTGAACTGGCTATTTCTAACTGCAAGCAACACCTCACAGAAAAAAAGTAACTATAAAAGGTCTGTTGTTTAGTCAAAAGTTTTCCATAGAATATATATAATTTTGTGGAAACATTTCTTTCTTATACATTAATACAAATTAAACTATTAAAAAGACCTCAAGACAAAAATCAAATTTCTGCTTCAGTGGCTAGGATAAGCTTTACAAGATTTATAGCTTTGAAACATTTGCCAAAAAGTCTAACTTCTACTCACCATCATTCACATCACTTCTACAGATGCTCTAACAGCAGGTACTTCACAACCGAGAACAAATTATGATCTGCATGAGGACCAAACCCCCATAAGACAGCTAGCTGGCAGCCAGTATTATAATTTGTGTCTGATTACAGCTGTGCTACAATGTTCCAGTCTTGTTCCTGAAGATTAATTCAATTGGACATGTTGGGCTGACAAACTGATAAAGTGCATTCCACATTACTCAGACTTTATCGAGCTTCACCTGCCCTGATACAAGACATCGGTGATTCAGAACCAATATAATTCATTAAGCAACAACCAATTCAAAGGTTAAGCTTATTTAAACGATAACATTAAGTGCTTCTTTAATAAGTGCGAGAAGAATCAGAAACAAAATGCATGAGTCAGAAGGAACACATAAGCTGGTAATTATTAATGTGACTGGAATCACAGACACATGGCTAATGAAGTCCAATACTGATGAATATCTGTGGGTATACAGTGTTCTGGAGACAGGCTACAATGGAAGAATGGCGGTTGCTGTGCTACACATCAGAAAGAGTACTCAAGCTCAGGAACGTAGCCTAAAGGAACCAAACAACATAAATATCTTTAGCAGAGCATTAGGGGTATGCTACAATGTTTACTTTCTTGTCCAGTTTGTCAGAGCACCTACAAGAAGGAATAAGTCTATTGATTTACACTTTTCAAACAATCAAGGCAGAATGAGGAAGTAAACAGTGTTGAAAAAACTGTTAGGGAACTGATCATCATATGTTATGATCTGAAGTATACTGAAGTATAGGTCCAAGTGAAATGTTTACAATTTCAATTTGCATGCAGACTGTGAAGGAATAAGATCGCTCTTTAAGAGAAGTAAAGTGGGAGAAGATACCATATAGAATCAGCTAAGAATGGATAGCAACAGTTTAAAGACATTTTGTTTGTAGAGAACAGATGTATCCAAAGACTGAGTAAATCAAAGTCAGGAACACAAATGCAGCACAAAAGATTTAATAAAATAAAAGAATATAAGGGGACAGAAGCACTTGGTGAAATGATTTGAAAAGAAAAGTACCACAGAGTACCACAGAGATCTGTATGAGGAGCACTGCTCTTCCAAATATCTAGATAGAGGTATAGTTGACAAACGAATTGAGTGTGTAGATAATGCCAAATTAGGCAACTTACCAAAACTGTAGAAGCAACAAATTAAATTTGGAAAAATTAGATAAACTTTCACACTGGGCAAACACAATGTTTAATGTTAGATGAATGCAGGATTTTGAAAAACATAACTATAGATTAAGAAAGGGAAATGAGTTTGAAGAAAGTAATACTGTGTTTATAACATTTATATCTTCTAGACATGTGGGAAAGCCATAAAAAGCAGTTTTACATAGCTAAAAGCATAAAATTTAAACCAAGTGAATGATAAATTATACAATTCTGCAGTCATAACACATTAGGAATACTGTGTAATTTTGGTCACCACATTATAAAAGCATTATTGCTGATCTGGAATCAGTCCAAAAAAAGAGCAATCGTATACATTACAGACCTTAAGGAAATGTCCTACACTGACAGTCTGAAAGAACTGAACCTTTTTTTTTCTTGAACAGACAAGTATCCAAATTCCTGGGGATTTAAAATGTCAACCCAATGGACATCTACAGAATAAACAGTGAAATGTAAACCAGAGGACACGAGTGGAAACTAAAGGAAAATACACTTAAAAATGAGAAAAAGTAGCACTGTTTTACACAGTTTATCCACCCACATCTAAATGTATGGAAGCCCGTTTCCACCAGGGAGTAAAAAAAATGTGCTATGGTATCTCACAATTGCGACTTTGCACCTCAGAATTGCGACTTCATATCTCAGAACTTTTGCGACTTCGAAATGGCCCACATTTCATTGTCTGTCCTTTTGTTATGGATTCGGGTTCTAGGGCTTGTGTCCTCGCTGCTCATACCCTAGTTCAAGCCTCACTGCATTGGCTCGAACCCAGGTCTTGCTAATTCTATTAGAAATTTAAAGAATCAAAAGGCAAGACATACAATGGAAATATGTAAAAAGTATAAGTTTCAGCTTCTATAACTGTGAATTCCTCTGGGTTTTATGTGTCTATTTCTGTATCTGTATCTGTGTCTATTTCTGTATCTGTATCTGTATCGACAAGAGTAGAGGTGTAACCCCAGCGTCCTGGCCAAATTTCCCATTGGTCCTTACCAATCATGGCTTCCTAATAATCCCCCTCTATGAATTGGCTACATTACTCTGCTCTCCTCCCCACTGATAGCTGAAGTGTGGTGAGTGTTCTGGCGCACTATGGCTGCCGTTGCATCATCCAGGTGGATGCTGCACATTGCTGGTGGTGGAGGGGAGTCCCCATTACCTGTAAAGCGCTTTGAGTGGAGTGTCCAGAGAAGCGCTATATAAGTGTAAGCAATTATTATTATTATATTATCTTTTTTCATATTCTGTCTCCTTTTTTGTATTTCTGGTGTTTAAAAACTTTCTAAAAAAGCCCACCGTCAACTATTCCATCGGGTACTATGAAAGCCTCCCTGGGGGAAATGGGATTCCATAAAAGCTTGTGTAATTAATTTGATTTTTAACACGGCACTGTACAAGACAAGTCTTCAGGCCTATAGATCCTATGATCTTGTACAATTTAGGAATATACAGTAGTGTAACGGAACTGCCAACATACAGGTTTTTACGATCCCTTGCGCATAACAGGGATGTTGGCTGGCAGGGTTAAAGGAGGTCTTCTTTAGATCAGCTGGCAAAACCTGGGTTTGAGCCAATGTAGTGAGGGACGAACTACAGTGGGAGCGGCGAGGGCACAAGCCCTAGAACCCAAATTTGTTACAATAACAAGAGGACAGACAATGAAATGTGATATAAAGTTGTCATTCTGAGATATGAAGTTGCAATTCTGAGATACCATAGCGTGTTTTTTTTTACTCCCTGGTGGAAACGGGCTTCCATTTTAATGGGCTAAAAGGCCTGTTTTCATGTGTAAGTTTTCTTATTTTCAAATGTTAAAAATGGAAGTTTTTAACCCAAGCGACAGGCAATTTGCCCTTAAGGTATTGTAAAGTTTGATTCTGAATGAGGAATTGAGAAGAACAAGACAATCAGTGGGAACCTTCTGACCTTTCAACTATAGTTGTTTGGCATTCACTTATTAAATGATCTTTGCTGGTTTTAAAAAATGTTCTCAAGACACTGGTAACATCAAGGAAAGTTCTGCTGTTCAATGCACCAGTTTGGGCCAAACAACGTACTGGGGTCATGAGATGTCTTTTAAATTACTTCACTTTCTGTTATTTGAAATACTGATTTCCAAACACAATCCTACCAAAAAGTAATCTACATTATTAATCTAGGGATTCTCAGACACACCTGCCATAAACTGTATTTTAAGAATTCCACGAATGCTGACCTGTAACTTTTTAAAAACAGCTGTTTAATGCACAGAAGCCTATGGTCTAAGCATACAATAAAACAATCATTAAATATGATGCAGTGTTCTTCAAGGCCTGTATAATTGCATCCAAAAATACCCTTGCTCAAATAGTAATTAGTTTGTGGACCTTTGCAGCGGGAGCTAAGATATGTATTTATTATTCTGTAAGGATTCTTTGTTTAGAAACCAGCTGTTAAATTCAGGGAAGGCAAGTCAAACAAGCTCTGACAGGCAAGAGACAGGTTAATGAGAAACTTGCAGAGGAGAACCACGTGGTCCATAACCCTTACCTTTGCAACAAAGCACTCTGCTATCGCCACAGGGTCGGCATTGCAGTTCTCCAAGTCCTGAAGCAGGTCACTGCAATTCAGATTGAAGCAGAGTAGGTTCACAACAAGAACACGATTTTGGGGGGTGAACACATTCTTCAATAAAGGCAACCTGGTAGTCACAGAAACTCTAACTGCACTACAGTATATTTCTTTTCAATTATCCCATAAAACACATTATCTACATAATGTATTTCCTGGCTGCTATCAGGTGTCTGTTTCAATCCCACCTGAACTGTACGTGTAAAGTGAGCAAGACAAATGTTTTTGGAACAACATATCATGTAATGTACATGTCTCCTGATCCCCAAGTTAATGTGGTAAAGAATGTCAGCAACTAGTCTGCTTTACAGTGGGAATTATTTAAGCAAAGAATTTTGCTTAAAATCTGAGCAATGTGACAATGGTGGTTGTGACACCACTTGTCATTCCCATTTAAATCATTCAGTGACTGTAATTTGAATTTTGAAATTTGAAAAAAAAACCCAATAAATCAGGATTAAAAAAACATTTGTTCAGACACAAATATACAGACTGAAAAAATGAGAATTTTACTTTTGTAATAACAGCTGTGGTACACTGTATCTAACATAGACTAAGAAATAAATGGAAGAAATAAAGAAATAAAATAAGAAATTAAAATAAATAAACAATACCAGTATTAATCAGGGTACTATCTGTTTCTTTTTGCTTAGAAAACATGCAGTAAAAAAGGAAAAAGGTTTCCATAAAACTATATCTTCACATTGTAGGAAATTCAGACCTTTCCAAAAAGAATCAAACTATTCATGCAAAATCTCTGTCCTTTAATAATGGTAAAGAATTGTCACTGAAGATCTTTATGGGTCCAAACTTAAATTGTGCAGCAGTATCAGAAAGGCAGCATATTTAGAAACATTCAGACTGGTAGACAGCTAGTCCAAGAAAGAGAAGAGTGTAGCTGTGAAGCTGTAGTTTGATTCCGAACACTACTTTTCTGCAAAGTGGGTGAAATTAAGATGCCGCCTAAAACGAGTTTTTACCCATTTAGATTTTTAACAATGTGTATCAAAGTTTTTTTTTAATTATTCAATCTTACCCTACATCATTATTTTCTTTTTATAAAGAAACAGCTGAAAATATGGTATGTTTAATAAGGATACTTATCTGGATGTTTTTCTTTGTATACGTTTTGTGACAACATTCATTGATATCCATTTCTATTTTTGTGTATTGCACTGTAAACTAAAGTAATCACAAAGCAAAGCAGTAAAATTCTGCCATTTGTATTTTAATTTTAGTGTCCTTGCTTTACCCTTGCTGCTGGTGAATTCTTGTCCAGGATTATTTAAGATCCTGAAAGCACATGGTTTCTCTATTACTCCAGATCAACCTTCTAGGGTGGGCAAAAAAATCACATCCTTTAGGAAAGTTCCCAGCATTTGAATAAAGTCATGTCGACACCCTTACAACACAAAAAGACCTCCAGGATGTAAGAAAGGTTACAACTTCCACAAAAATGTGTATGGCTCCTTTCCAACACATACAGAGATATTGCAGAGAGGATAAGGATCACATTTAGTGGATCTTCAAAAATATGTTCTGTCTTGATTATAATGACAGGAAGTCCAAAGGTCAAGAAGATAACATGATGAACATGTCTTGCCCCATGCTGCAGAACACAAAATATATTAGGGAGGGCACGTCACAATATGGACACAGGAATGTCTTGGATGAGGTCCGACACCACTTTTATTGCTGCTAGGTACAGAGATTAAGTACTACCTGTCCAATACAGAGAACTTATTCTAATGCTGCTGGCCTTAATTTATTTTAATTGATTACAAGCTACAAAACATAAGCAGGAAAATACTGTGCACGAAACAGTAAAGTGTGTACAATAGTGTGTGCCTGATTAGAGAGATTAGCAACCCTGCTTCATAGGGTCACATAGCAAGTGATTAAACAAAAGGTGCACATGACACTTGAATGGATTTGCTCAAGTGGAGAACTTCCCTGTTTCATTAATTTGTGTAATATCTTAATTATCCAGTTTATAAACTGCAAATTAACTTACACAGCCACCCTATAAGGCAAAACACATGACATTTTTCTGTTGTAAATCTCATCCCTTGCAAGAGTTAATTGTATTTATGAAAGTTGCTCCTCCATGGCAACCAAACCTGAATCAGATCTAACAAGAGCTGGTAACATCGTCTTCTGCTCACGAGAAACTTCAAACAACTAGATAAGTAATTAAGTAAATAAGTAAGTGTTCTAAGTAATTAGCATTTAGTAAGTCTTAAACCACACCAAAGTATTTTAATACGTGTGGCAAAGAAATTACTGCAAAAATGAGCTAGCTGAGGCCAGATTATTTGCACCATTGAGATGTCAGTCTATCATATTAAGATCCATTTGTTTTTTCTGTCAATTTCAAATTATGTAGACTGCAAATATAGGTGAACATATTTTATGAAATATTTAAAGAAACTCCAAAAAAAGGCCAACAAATAACTGAATGGGATTAAAGTCAATGTGAGCATCTTACTGAACAGTAATAATAATTGATCTGGTCATCCAAATAATAATAATTACTGATCACATCCTAAAAACCTAAATCTGAAAACTGCTTCTTTACCATATGATTAGTTTGCATACAATAATTATTCATTTAATGTATACTGCATATAGGGAATCTTTCAAATAGATGGTCTAAAGACAGTAAGAAAAACTGGGTCTCAGGTTTTAAACATTTACAAAAATGCACACATCTAATACGAATCTTGCAGCAGAACCACCTGTTTTACTAGACTGTATTTCTATATTACCAGAAATACTGGGTGAATAATGCACAGCTAGAATGGACAATCCATGGACAGGTTTTGGTAGTCCAGGAGCCACATAACCATTTAGCACTCAAATCCTTTCACATAGAGTTATGTCTAAACTGTCTAAAACACTATGACTAATTTTCAGAAAATGGAAAATACGCCATGCCTTCAGTTTCATTTCCCCAAATACCTCATTAAAGTTTTCAACTGTACTGCTTACAAATTTAAGTTATAATTTTTAAACTTTGATTTTTTATAGGGAAATTGTGGAAATTCTTCCAGCAGACACAGTTTTCTGAAGGCCTTTTTAGTTATTTTAATAATAAACATGCTAAACATGCTATACTACAGCATGTTTTTAAATCATCAATCCCCTCCTTTAACAATCAGCTTTCAACTGAGAATTGGTAGACACTAGGTACATACAACTAAGTGACTCAATCTAAATAAATTCATCCCTTCAAACTAAAAAGTGAAAAATAAGTGAAGACATTTAGGTACTGCAAGGGATAATTTAATATTTTACTCAAGTACTACATTTAAAACTGAGAACAAACACAAAGGATTGCTGGAACCTGGAACAAGCTTCCCATTCATGTTGTCAAAGCCAACAGTATCAGTTTTTTCAGCAAACAGCTGGATAAGATCCTTTTAACAATTAGCTACTTAGGGTTCAAATGAGCAATATAGACTGCGTTGCCTTCTCTTATTTGTTTTTTGCTGATCTTCTGTGTCAGCTTGTAGACTACAGTGTATTTGAAATTATTTATGTGGCACATGTGGTCTTACAGTTGGCAATTACGAGCACACCTGCATCACATTAGACCAAAGACAAGCTCTGGGTCTGGAGAACTGGTCTTTCACTGGATAACAGCACTTCCATTTTTGTTTGCTGTCCTACCATATAATTCAGTGGAGTCAGGATTGTCAGAGGAATTTTTGAGGATCTGCCTCCAGATGGCAACCTGATAGTTTGACACGCAGTGACACCCAAATTTATGTTTGCATGAAACCTGATGTCAATCAGCACTATCCGCCCTAAAACACAGCTTAGGGGATATTAAAAATTGTTGCGAGCAAACTTTGTACACCTGAACTGACAAGACCAGACTAATTATCTTGACTGGTTCTCCTTACAAACTCTGTAAATGTATCAGCCTTACTGCGGCTATTAATGGCCCAGGAATCCTGTGGTCATATCTGACCTAAGCCTTGAATCTGAAGCTCATGTTCAGAGTGACGTGAAAGTATCATTTTTTAATCTTCATAACATTTTGTACATCTATACACATCTCTTCCAGCTTGATGCAGAAAAGATAATACACGCTTTTGCCTTTGCAGGCTTGATTATTGTAATGCAGTGGTGTATCCAAACATGTTATTAACAAGCAGCAGCATGTTCAGCAGTCGGCTGCTCAGATCATAACCAAAACTAAAACACGTGAGTGTAGAGTACCTATTTTAGTGTCCTTGCATTGGCTCCCTGTGGATTTCAAAATAACATTAAAAAAACCTTCAAGGGTTTAAACATTTTGGTTCCTGATTATGTCAGCAAACTTAATTCCATACACAATAAAACATTATCTATGCTCTTCAGATTCCAGCTTTTCTTTCTTTCAGTTCCCAATACAAAGCACCGAACTCACTGGCGAGACATTTTTCTGCTGCTCCAATGATTCTCCAATACTAGCCCATGTCATGTCTTATAAGTCAGTTAGCACTTTCAAATCATGGCTTAAAACTCAGAGTTATACTCTAGCTGATGCTGTTTAAATTACTATTTTAATTTGTATATCCCCGTCTCCTCTGTTTTCCTGTACAGTGCCTTAAATATTATGAGGAGTACCTATTCCTATGTGTCTATCATTTTATTGCATATGCTTTAAACACCTGCTTCACTAAAAACCATTGCAGCTTTAAATACCTATATTTGGAAGACATTTCTCAGATTTTGAGCTCCGACACAAATTTCAGGTGTTTTTGACAACACAGACAGGTTGAGAAGGTATTTCAAAACAGTCAAATACAAGTTAATGCAGTGATTTAAAGTCTTTGAAGGACTAGCAACAATATTCCAGTGCCACCTCATGTAGATTAGGGTTTTCTAAACTGTTCCCATAGAAAGAACAGATATTATGCTGAGTGAATTATATTTAAAATACCATTACAGAATACAGAATACCATTTAAAAACTAAATCTTGAAAAAATATGGATGGGGAAATTTGGGAATGGAACAGTAGACTGATATATAAAGTTTTACAGTCAACCGTTACAGTCGTTACAGTCTGATTATAAAATTATAAACAGATTTACAACTGAAAATAGGAGGCATTTACAATATTCTCTTAATAAGTATGGGAATATATAACAAATGGTTAAGCTGTTTTATGGACCCATGAGTTACCTCCTTACCTGTTGAAGTGGTAAATGTCTCGGATATTGCCAAAGAGAGATGCTCTTTCCTCTTTGCCCAGCAACAGTCGGGACTGACTGGAAATGCACTCAAGGTAATCCTGAGGACAAAAAGAATAGTTAGAATTTAATATTGAAACAAGTTACTCAAACATGTTGCTGAACTCCCACCATTGTTTCCTTCAAGAAATGGCTGGCTGAGAGTCTAGGATCCATTAACTCAACCCTGAACATATTCAATACAAATCAAAAACATAAATACCAATATTTAAACATCAGAACCAGAGAACAATAAAACACTACAGGTTCCCGAGCCGAAAACACATATGGAAAAATATACAGATATAGCTTCTAGAATGTGGAAATGAAAAATATTTCATTGCCAGTCTTTAAACCTTAAGTCTTCTTTGACTTTTCGTTAGATACAAGATAAAGCAATGCTTTAGAATGCAACTGGTGTCAACATGTTCAGTTTATAGTTCTCATTTCCCACATAATGCAGCAAACTTCCCCAATAAACATTAACACTTCAGTTTCATACCAAATAAACTTAACGAAGTACAGATAGAAAGAACTATTGAAATGGAGGCTAAAATTATCTGCGTAACCAACTTATTAGAGTTCTTTAAGCAAGCAGCAACAGTATTGTATACGCAGAGCATATGATGTGGTGTATTTAGACCATTTTTTTAGACCAGAAAACAAAGCTCAGATTAAGAGTGAATGCTCAAACAGTGATGTACAGATCCCTATGATATTACATCTGTTCATGTTTATATGGAATACCAAGACAGTAGGATTAGCAAATGCTATAGAAGAAGCTATAGACAAAATTCAAGACTGGACACCTGGAAGATGACCTTTATTGTAGACAAGTGCAGGCTTCTGCATGCAGGAAGTAAAGCAAACTGTAAACACAAACTGGGGAAAGCATGAGCTAGAAGAGGCTACTTATGAAAAAGACCTGGGTGATTATGTCAAAACATTTACTGTACATCTTCTAGATAATGTGAAGAAGCAATAAATAAGGAGAATACATTTTAATAGGTGGTAATACAAATATTTTTTAATATTTAAGGTAATTGAATTGAAATGGTTTTTGAAATACCTTTATTTTATTGTATAGTTCACCATGAATGTGCAAGACATTACAGCTTGGCATATTCCTTCCTTCCTCACCTCACAGGACCTAAATGTCAGAAACCCAACACTTAACTTTGTCCTATTCAAATGGACAGTGCTTTCACTTCTCTTTCTGAATACTTTGCGATATATGAGTTTAGGTTTCTTTTAATATGTAAGTCTATGCTTGGATGGGTTAGATAAAACACTGTAATAATAATATTTTAAAAGAAGTTAGAACAGACAGAACCTTTTTACCCTTGATGTTAGGTGAATGAATTATTACAAGAAGACCACATTTGTGTTTTTCTTACAATCGTGTAACACCATGTGCTACAGTGACTCTGGGTTTCAAAGTCAAAAAATGAAAGATAAGCCAGCAGCGAGGAGAAAAATGTACTGTAAGAATAGCTTTTCCTAAAAGATGGCATCTGGAGCTGAAATGTAAACAAACAAACCATTAAAGCCTGAAAGTTGTGTGTGGGCTTGGCAAGTTTCAGAAGGAGGAACATTTCTGGGCCCCAGCAAAAATAACTTTTTTGCTGCAAAAAAAAATTGTTCAAGTTGAATTCACAGGGCTGCTTTAATAAAATAACAGTAGTAATGCATGGATTGATGTGAAAAATATTTTACCACTGCTTGCCTACATTTCTCCATTCTAAAGACTATACATGTGGGCGGTATGAATATATTTTTAAATACTTTGGGGAAGGTTAAATATGATTTTTTTTTTCTACACCTGTCCCTTGAATTCTCTTTTTGCTGTTATTCTACCCGGCAATGTCATCTTTTAGCTCTGATTCAGGAAATGTAAGTGGTATGAGAACCTATTCTCATTGGGAATGAAGTAGGCAGTAGAAAATAAAAATAAAAATAAAAAGTCCAATGTCTGGTGATTCTCTTTTTAGAGGTTAGATTGGCTTGGGAAAAAACATAGCTATGACGTAATTTAGTGAGATTATTTTTTTCAAACATTAAATTTGTAAATGAATGTGCATTTTTTTCCCCTTTTTCGAACTCTTTACAGTCTGTCTCAAATTTAGATCCTCCTTTCCCAAGACTGCATCAAAAACTTTATGAAACAGACCCAAAGAAATCCTTTCATACTTTACTCAAAAGGGTAACGATGTGATTTTATAAAAGTAACAGTAGTGAATGTCAATTAAGCAAGCCAGGAGGACGGATCATGGAAACAATTATTTTTCTTATTCTTATAATCTGCCAAATATTACAAGTCAAGTAAAACCAACACTTTAAAATAACACAGAGATCTGTGGCTCAAGATCTTCTCTAACCAAGTCAATCACAATAAAGCAGTTTACAGAACTTTCATAGTCTACATGTGATTCAGAAGACAGACACTACTGATGGTTAGTAAGAAGACCATACATAGGTAACATCCAAAGGCATTTCTATGTTATCTACACCCACAATTAATGCAAACATGAAACTATGCTACAGTACTGCCTTTAAAGCTAAAATACCTGCTTTCAGGGTCATTCATATAAAAATGGTGGAGACAGCTAATCAGTTATGTTCTAATAGATGAATATGTTTGGAAGAATAAAGAGGGGGCAATCATTCATAGAGTAACATGTGCTTTAGAAAAATATTTTGCTTTTGGCTGCATGGCAATTATTACCCAACCAAAACACAAACAGTTTCACAAAAGTGCAGGGAGGGCTGCCTCTTAAAACAAGAATGATGTACATTCGAGAGAAGAACCCAGTGGCTAAATGCACATAGTAGATGTAGCTCTTGAATGAGCAGTTGCTGTTTTGAATTCTGAAAACAGTTAAACTTTCCACATGATTAAAAATATCTCAAGATGAATAAAACAATTTTTCAACAGCTCATATTGTAGACGTTTCAACAACTCACAGCTATTCAGCAAATACAATTTTCAAAAATCAACATAATGAACATCTTTGTTTCTAAACAGAGAAACTTTCTTTATTGGCACATGTTGGGAGGAAGTGACCAGTCTGCAAAGTTGTTGACAGGACAAATTAATGGTTTCAGGCAGATAACATCAGTATCTTGGGCGCTCATGGTAGGAAAGTAACACAACTGAGGTTTTCTGAGGAATTTAAGAAGTGACATGCCAACAAACCAAGCTACAATAAAAAGACAGGCTGCAATGGTCGATTCTGGTCAGAGAGGCTTATTGATGCATCACAATGACCTGTGAACAAATCTGCTAAATAAACTGTTGTGTGGGAATACGTGCCTGGGCTTGGATGCACTGCTGTTTTTATAAAAGTCACAGAAAAAAACACAGAGAAAGAACAACTCACCTCTGAAACCATACTATATTATTTAAATTAACATTTAAAATTGGGGAAAATGTGAAATGTGGGAACAAAATCATTTTTTAAAATAAAAGTGCAATGTTAAGCACTAACAAGAGAAGTGACCTAAATGTTCACCCTCTTCACATTTAACTGTTTGTAGTTGTAGCAGAAAGCCCTGTACAAAGTGGTGCTCTCTAGGCTGTCATTGTAAAGACAGTTCTCTCAATAGACTTATAAAATTAAATAAAGTATTAAAAATATTTTGTGCCACTGCCCGGTAATATGTGGATCTTTGAAGAGGCAAAGATAAAACCTACTGTAGTCGACTTCCTTTTGCGATGCATTGGCTTAAAACGTTTCAAAATCAAGCTCTGCTTTAGAATGCTTTGTACTTTTCACTTGCATTAACCTGCTTCCTAATTCATTCATTTTAACCCAGTAATATATTGAGAGGAAACAATGTCCTATTATATAGAAAGGACATTCAATTCACATAAAAACTGTCCAGCTGAGAACCAATTTTACAGGGCTTATAGCATCAGGTTTTTGAAGACTTTTTAAAGTGAAAAGCATACAAAATACTTCTTCCAAGCAGCAAGTCTGTCTTACAACAAGGCATATACTTGTGACCAAAGAAAAAAACAAAAACTACAATATTAAAAACTGAGAGACTACTGCCCTTTTTCTTTACTGTGGATTTGTTGAGATGAGCATTATTTTTGCAGTTGACCAATATGAGTGAATAATATTTCAGTGGAGGACTGGAGAGCTCAGTGAAGTAAACCTCTATACACATGGTTTCCATTATTGGAACTTTAACTGTGCAATTTGTAATTTCATCCATCCATCCATTTTCTAACCACTTCATCCAATTCAGGGTCGCGGGGGAGCTGGAGCCTATCCCAGCAAGCAACAGGAGCAAGGCAGGGTACACCATGACTGGAGGCCAGTCTTTTGCAGGGCATACACAGACATGAACACAAACACTCATACCAGGGTGAATTTTTGAAGAAGACAACTAGCCTAACAGTATGTCTTTAGACTGTGAGAGGACACCGGAACACCTGGAGAACACTTACACAAAGACAGAACATACAAAATCCACGCAGATAAGCACCCTGGGCCCACAACTGAACCTCAGCGCTGCAAGGCAGCAATGCTAACCACTGCACCGCCATGCTGCACTGCAATTTGTAATTTCCTAAAGCATAATTTACATTCATGAATTAAAATAGCACATTTCATTTTTTAAAGGGTAAATGAAGGGCTTTAAAAATGACACTAGAAAATCTATAAAAAATCTAAATTAAAATGTAACACTTTGTGGGTTGAGCTTAGGCCCATAAAATTTTAAATTGTGGCTAAGAGCATTTTGAAGAGTGAAGGGTATTTAGGTCCTTACTAATCTAATGGTTAAGATTTTTGTGTGTTTCTTAAAATAAGGGAGAACATAAACACAGACTTCAAATAATACCAAAATCACTTGTTGACTTTCTACTGAAGTTGGAACTTCATCAAAGCATGACAGAAGATTCAATCACTATATGAAGCTGAAATTTTTGCTATTTTAATTAATAAACCAAATCAGGTCAACATTCTAAAGACATGTTTCAGAATGTTACTGAAGTTACAATGTTTGAGCTGTCAAGTCTAAAAAATATCTTTACTCGAAAGAAACGAGCAAA